AGTGCAGGATTTGAAAAATATAAATGCTAAAATTTATGCTAAGGCATCAACAGAACGTGCCTCAACCTCATCATGGAATGGTTGGGTGGGAAGGGACCTTAAACCCCATCCATCCCACTGTGGGAAGGGGCTTTAAACCCCATCCATCCCACCGTGGGAAGGGGCCTTAAACCCCATCCATCCCACCGTGGGAAGGGGCCTTAAACCCCATCCATCCCATCATGGGAAGGGAATTTAAACCCCATCCATCCCACTGAGGGAAGGGACATTAAACCCCATCCATGCCACCGTGGGAAGGGAAACTTAAACCCCATCCATCCCACTGTGGGAAGGAACCTTAAACCCCATCCATCCCATCATGGGAAGGGGCCTTAAACCCCATCCATGCCACTGTGGGAAGGGACCTTAAACCCCATCCATGCCACTGTGGGAAGGGGCCTTAAACCCCATCCATCCCACTGTGGGAAGGGACCTTAAAACCCATCCATCCCACTGTGGGAAGGGGCTTTAAACCCCATCCATCCCACTGTGGGAAGGGAATTTAAACCCCATCCATCCCACTGTGGGAAAGGACCTTAAACCCCATCCATCCCACTGTGGGAAGGGAAACTTAAACCCCATCCATCCCACCGTGGGAAGGGGCTTTAAACCCCATCCATTCCACCACAGGCAGGGACCTTAAACCCCATCCATGCCACTGTGGGAAGGGGCTTTAAACCCCATCCATCCCACCATGGGAAGGGGCTTTAAACCCCATCCATTCCACCACAGGCAGGGACCTTAAACCCCATCCATCCCACCGTGGGAAGGGGCTTTAAACCCCATCCATCCCACTGTGGGAAGGGACCTTAAACCCCATCCATCCCACTGTGGGAAGGGAATTTAAACCCCATCCATCCCATCATGGGCAGGGACCTTAAACCCCATCCATCCCACCACGGGCAGGGGCTTTAAACCCCATCCATCCCACTGTGGGAAGGGACCTTCCTCCCATCCATCCCATTGTGGGCAGGGACCTTAAACCCCATCCATCCCACCATGGGAAGGGGCCTTAAACCCCATCCATCCCACTGTGGAAAGGGAAACTTAAACCCCATCCATCCCACTGTGGGAAGGGGCTTTAAACCCCATCCATCCCACTGTGGGAAGGGAAACTTAAACCCCATCCATCCCACTGTGGGAAGGGGCTTTAAACCCCATCCATCCCACC